CCTGGATCACGTGGACGTTAGTCTCCAGACTGACATCTTTGCTCTTTAGTACTTTGGAGAGGCCTCTAACATCAGAATTTCCCAAAGCAATTTGTCTTGATTTCCTGGCTGCTGGTGCCAAGAATGCTGGTTGTGGAGCAAAGTAAACGAAAGCTGTTAACAATCTCAAGCTCTTCACCATCTATCTTGATGCTGCCAATTGGCCCAGTGGTGAAAATCTTTGTTTTCTTGATGTTGAGCTTCAATCCATATTGAAAGCTGCAGTCCTGGACCGGCAGCAATAGCTTTAGGTCCTCCTCAGTTTCAGCAAACAGGGTTATGTCATCTGCATAACACAGATTGTAGGGGTAGAAAAAAAAGCTTCCTTCCATCCTTTTTTGATGCTGTCTTGCATCATTCAGTATTTTACCCACAGAACGATGGCAATTCAAGGCATGAATTTTTTTTTTCTTTCCCATTTTCCAGCTTGGAAAATGCCAGGCGTATTCTTCCTTTTTCTAACCCCATCTTTGTACATTTCATTATAATACTCCTCCACCTTTGTCTTCTCAAGCTGCCTTTTTATATCTTCCATTTGGCTCTCTTACATCATTTCTTTAGCTACTGTGCACAGGTAGTATAGCACTGGTCTGTGCATTGCTGTACAGAGGTAACTAATGGTTGCTGTGATGCTGAACACTGTGACACTGATGTGCCAAATGTGTTAATGGTCACCCATGGTGGACAGTGTTTGGTGGAGCTTCCTGACTAAAACAAGCCTGGAAGCAGAAGTGGCATCCACTTCTGAAATGGCTTGCCTCCAGAAACCCTATGAACAATGCTCGGGCCTTTCGTTCATAGGGTCGATATAAATCGTCTACAACTCGACAGCACCAAACAGTAACAAACATAACAAGTTCCAGAATAATTTTTAATGTTTGTCTTTTTCTGTGTATTTTTTTTCCTTCATGCATGATGTGTCATCCTACACCTTGTCTGATCTTCATTTATTTATTTTCAATGTGTTGAATCTATTCTTGAGCTAGTCTCTACATTCAAGTGACTTTTACTCACGATCATACTTTAGAGCACATAGATTCGTTTTTCTCTCCTTCAGCTTCAACTTGAATTTACATAAGAGCAGTAGATTGTTTGTTCTGCAGCTGGACTCTGGTCTTGTTCTAATGAGTTTTTCCTGCATCTCTTCCCACACATAGATTTTCTTTCTGTTCAGTCCACATGTAATTTATGTTGTTCACAGAATATTTCCCATAGGTCTTTGGTCTTACCAAATCCTGGTTGTGATCTCTGGAGTCCTTTCTATTACATAGGTCACCAGTAATTATCAATGTATTTTGACTACATTTTGGTCAATTTCAGGCTTTAGAAGTTGGTACAAATCTTCAGGTTCTTCATCTTTGTAATTTCTAGTTGGTACATGAATTTAAGTAAGAGCAGTATTAAATGATCTTCATTGGAGGTGTATGGATCTTACCCCTATCACTGACAACTCTGTATAGATTTTTAAATACTCTTTTTGACGATGAATGGGATGCCCTTCCTCTTTGTCATTCCTGGCATTGTAGACCATTCCATTGATTCCAGATGGCCAGTGCCAGTCCATTTCAGTTCACTAATGCCTAGGATTCCATTTCATTTTTACAATTTCCAATTTCCCTAGATTCATATATTCCATGCCCACTCACCCCCAATATAAAATCCCTTTTATAAAATTACAAACAAGGCTGAACAGCATATTTGTAGGGCATAAATATGTCCAGGATGATAGTCTTTTTTAAAAGAGAAAAAGTGCTTTATATTCTGAGGTCTCTGATTACTAATGGATGTTTGCAGCTGTTCTCATTTTGAGTCATGCTACGTCAGCAAATGACGGTCTCGGAAGCTTTACTGCAGCCATATCATTGCGGTAAACTTCAAGGAGGTGACTCTCTCTGCCTTTTAATGACTCCCTCCTGCAGTATGCATCTTGCAGCACTGTGTCAAGCATTTCCCATAAGGTTGCCCTGGCTAAATTTTTTTTAAGAGCATCAGGTCCTTCTTTCCTAATCCATCTCAGTCTGGAGGCTCTGCTGAAACCTGTCCACCACAGACAACACTATTGGTTTTTAAAATAGCTTCAAGCAGAACAGAAATACATTAACCAGTACCTTAGTATAGCATATGACAAACAAGTGAGCAGTACTTTTTTGTTTCTTAACTCATAATCTCTGAGATGGTGTTGTACTGACAAACTATACGTACTGTCAAAATATCTTAATGCACTGTTGAACTGTTATGTGCGATTAAGTCAGAACCGACCCATAGCTGACCCTCTGGCGGGTTTTCAGAGGCAGTAAATCACACTGGAGGAGACTGCCAATCTTTCTCCTGTGGAGCTTCTGGTGGATTTGTGCCCCATGCCTTTGAGTCGGCAGTACACCTCCTTACCACGAGGTCACCAGAGTTCCCTACTGTGGAAATAGATGATACAACAGTCATTTCCTAGTGTCAGCCCTTTCCAGAGCAGGGAGGAATGCTGAATTACAGTCAGTATTTCAGGAGCACAAATTTTGAATTAGTCTTCTGGATATAAGACTGGGTGAAAATGATGGTTCTAACAAAGGTGGTGTTTTCTAAATTGATATTATGTTGTTTTGTAGCTCTACGTCAGAACTAACCCACAGCTGACCTTCCAGTGGGTTTTCAGGGGCAGTAAAATGCATAGGAGGAGATTGTCCAACTTTCTCCTGTGGAACAGCTGGTGGATTCAAACTGCATACCTTTGTGTTAGTGCAACTCCTTATCAGGGAGATGTCCTACATAACAAGAAGAAGCCAGGACATCTCCCTAAAGAATGTTTATAGGGATTAGTTTCATTGTTAGGGAAGTGCTGGGCTCCTGGCTCTGTCCGGCCCTCGCTGGAAAGGATCACTCAGAGCCTGTGCTGGTGAGGAGTGAGATCCACACTAGACCAAGGTTTGTATTTCAGGTTTTATTTCATTCTGTAAAACTTTTTTTTTCTGCACAGCTTAAACCATAATTTACAACCTTGCATTCACACTGGCAAAATACTCATGACTTAATATTTGAAATTTTCCACAGGAATGTTCAGAATCAAGAAAGTTTGGAAAGTGCAAAATAAAGCCTTTTTCCATTTTGGAGAATGGAAAGCTGAAGTAATCTACAGTGAGATATTTTTCAAGCAATTCAGTTCACCTCTGAGTGAAGGCCCCTCCCTCGGCATTCTTTCATATCCCTCCTTTAGGTGGATTCCAGTCCCAAAACTCTGACAAATTTAGAGGCATCTGTAGAGCAAGTGGGAAAGCAGGCACACATACTAGCAGCAACCCAGCTCCAGCTTCCTGTTGGTGGGCTTCCTATGTGGAAAAAAGGGGCAAACAAAAAACCCTGCTCTGTTCCTTCAAGGTGGCAGGGGACAGGGACGGCCCCTCTGGGGAAAGCCCCCAGCTCTGTGTGTGTATGTGTGTGTGTGCGCTCGTGCACTTGAGGGTTCTCTGTGAACATTTTTTGTGTCTGGTGCTATAACTATAGACCAGCTGTGGAGACCAGCTACTACAATCTAATCCCTTTGATGGTTCATGTCTAAATACTCAAAAGGATTTCTCCCCACAGTCTTAGGCTCCTTATTTAGGGAAAAGCCTCATATTAACTTCTTCTGGTGATTCCTTGCCTGCCACATGAGTAGAAAAGACATGAATACTGGGTGCCTAAAAGGGAGGCAGTGCAAAAGTGGGTGTCCTAATGACTGTGGCGAACTTGCAGCTGATGGCCGGGAACACAGTTAATAACCTTGGCCTCTCCCATAATCGAAGTGCCTGAGGTCTGGAACCAAGTGCTGGAAAGACAAAAGAGTTGGGAATAAATCTGTGTCTACATTAGAGCTTGTCAGATGGATACTGGAGGAACGGAGTGTAAACACGGTGAGGAGCAACCTGAAGGAATAAGGGCCAAGACCATGGATGGTCAAAACCCCAGGGCCTTTTACCAGATCCCAACACACAGATAATGACTGCTGACTTAGCGTCCCTGCAGTTGCTCCGGGTGTGTTGTATACATACTGTGGGCTTCATTTGAGCTCCTGACTGTGAGGTAGGTGAGGCCAAGTGTTCCTTAGCCCAGTAAGGAGAGAGGGGCCTGACTTAAGACATGAAGTGGAAATCACTGAGGGGAACAGAGTGGCCCAGGGCCACTGACATTCGAGATGCATCACCCCCCTGTGCAGGCTGGGCTGTCACACAGGGTGGTCGTCCTGTGCACCATGTGACTGGAGGCCAGGTGCTGCCCATCACATTGCATGTGCAGGTTGAGCTCCGTTTCAGTTTGGGACCATGGGAAGGAGAAAACCAATTAATGCTGGAAAAGGGAAGAAAAGAAAGCTCATTTCTCTTGGTTCCCTGCATCCAGAGCTGGTTGCTAAGGAACTTCCTGAACTCTTCCCCACAGCTCCAAGCCTCAGGACCTTGCACTGTTCTGAGCAGCTCCAGGCAGTTTCTGTCTCCCTGTGTTTCTTAAGCAGAAGATTGTCCAAAAGCCTCAGCTTTGCTCACTAACGCTCCCATAGCAGTGCTTGTAGGGGGGCTGGAGGATGCAAGCAGTTTGCACAGCAGACCTTGTATCTTGTGGCACAGGGAGCGGCACACACAGGAGCTGCACTCCCGTGTGCCTGCAGATATCAGCCTCTGATACAGAGACTTCAACAGGCCTGGGCCACAGCAGGGTCATAAGCAAGCCCCAGCGGCTCCACTGTGCCACTGGTTATGGGCCAACACGGCCGGGAAGCTGCAGCCAAGCAAAGCTCCTGGCCCAAAGCCTCAGTGCTCTTCTCCTTGAACTTCGTGCAAAGATGACAACTGACTTGGTTCAGTCTGTAGCCCATCCAGGCAATCAGCCTGTTAACTTCTGCTGCTCCGTCAGCAACGTGGTGCTGCCTGTGTTTGCTTCTTTCACTGGAAAATACTACTTTCCTCTTGAGGTAGGCATGTGACTGGGCCCAGGCTCGGCTAGCACTCCACATCCTGCAGCTCGATCTCCTGAGTCTGACTTTCTGCAAAGTTAAAGGTGAGTCAGTGAGGTGGAAAGGAACCCAGTGGCGGTTTCTTGGTGAGAACAAGAAACAGGCCTGGTGGCAACCTCAAACTTCCAAGGCATCCTGAAGCTCAGGGAGTTACCTTTGAGCTTGTGTCGTCTCTTCCTCTGGAACTTATAAGCACACTTGTTACAAACCCACATGAGGCTGATTAACACTGCAGCCACAGCAGCGAGGAAAGCAAGAAAGACGGCAACAAAGTGGAGGTCTTCATAGAGGATCTCTGAGGGCACAGTGAGGGGAAAGGGGAGATAATGTCTCTTTTATTATGGAGAAGCCAGCCGCCCACACGCTCCCAGCCCAGTGGAGTGCCCACCATCCCCAGGGACGTCTTACCTGAGACATGCACAACGATGGTGCCAAACTGGCTGCTCCCCAGGCCCTCGGTCACCGTGATGACATAGTAGCCGGAGTCGCTCACACCCACGTTAAAGAGTTGGATGGAGCCATTGTCAAAGGTGCAGACCCGGTCCTGGTGGCTTCGAGAGACATTGGCTGGACTCCCCGGCTTCCACTCCACGATCTTCTTCTGCACACCCCAGTTGGAGGTGTACCTCCATTCGATGGTGGGCACCCCGGCACAGGAGTACTCCACCGAGAGCAGAATGTCCTCCTTTACTGTGGCGTTGATGATGGCCTGGGGGATGTTCAGGGACACACCCTGACCTGCCGGGGAGAGTGACAGACATCCAAGGGCTGCTGTGAACTCGTACATGAGTAATAGAATTCATCAACAAACATATACTGAGTACCCAGTACCTGCCAGACAAGGAGCCCAGAAGGAGGAAACATACCACAGTTAAAGCTGGCACAAAATTTTTTTTTAAAGGGAAAGAAAAAAGGAAAGGGGAACCAGGAGAACCTGCAATTAGAGTCATTCTACCTGAGACAATGGCTAGTGTCTAACCATTATATTTATATATATTTCAGAGATATAAATTGTTGTTGTTATGTGCTGTCGAGTCGCCTGCAACTCATAGCAACCCTATGTACAACAGTCCTAAACCCTGCTCTGTCCTGTGTCAGTCTCACTCTCTCCAACACACCTACCCCCACTACCCCAGTTACTGAAGCAATCCACCTCATAGAGGGTCTTCCCTTCCTGCACTGTCCCTTCACCCTCCCAAGCATGATGTCCTTCTCCAAGGTTGGTTCCTCCTTGCAACATGTCCAAAGTATGTCAGTAAGTCTCAGAATCCTTGCCTCCAAGAAGCAGCCTCCCCAGGTTGAACCTGTTCGTTTTCTTAGCAGTTCATGGTTCAATACTCTTCTCCAATACCACAGCTCAAAGGCATCAATTCCTTCTATATTCCCTAGTCATTGTCCGGCTCTCTGATGCACAACAAGTGATTGCAAAGACCACAGCCTGTATCAGGTGCACCTTAGTCTCCAGAGTGACACCAATGCTCTTCAGTATTTTGGAGAGGTCACTAACAGCAGACTTTCCCATTGCAATATGTCTTTTAATTTCCTGGCTGCTGGTGCCAAGAGTGTTGACTGTGGAGCCAAGCAAACTAAAGCTGTTAACAATCTCAATCTCATCATCATCCATCATGATACTGCCCATTGGTCCAGTGGTGAGAATCTTTGTCTTCTTGATAGCCTCAATCCATATTGAAGGCTGTAGTACTTGACCCTCTGCAGCAAGCACCTCAGGTCCTTCTCAGTTTCAGCAGGCAGGGTTATGTCATCCACATAATGCAGATTGTTGGTGAATCTTCCACCAAGCCTGATGACACACTTCTCATACAGCCCAGCCTCCCAGATAGTCTATTCTGCATATAGGTTTAAAAGGTATGGAGACAGGACACATTCCTGGTGTACACCCTTCCCAATTTTGAACTAGGCAGTGTTTCCTTGCTCTGTTCTGACGACTGCCTCCTGGTCCAAGTATAGGTTTCGCATTAGCACGATCAAGTGTTCTGGGATTCCCATTTTTCTCAGAGTCAGCCACAGTTTGTTATGATCCACACAGTCAAATGCCCTTGCATAATCAATGAAACACAGACATTCCTCTGATATTCCTGCTTTCAGCTAAAATCCATTTAACATTAGCTACAATATCCCTAGTACCACGACCCCTTCTAAACACAGCATGGACTTCTGGCAGTTCTCTGTTGATGTGCTGTTCCAGTCATTTTTGGGTAATCTTAAGCAGAATTTTGCTTGCATGTGATAGCAATGGTATTGTTTGATAATTTCCATTATCTGTTTCATAATCGGTTCTGACTCTGTTGGGTCAAACAGAGGGATATTTTTATGTTCTTGTTATGTGCCATCAAGTTATCTGTAACTCACAGCAACCCTATGCACAACAGCTCTGAACCCTGACCTGCCTGAGCCAGTCTCCCTGACTCCAATACACCTACACCCATTACTCAAGTTACTGTGCCAGTCCATCTCATCCAGGGCCTTCCTCTCCTGTACTGTCCCTGCACCCTTCCAAGTATGATGTCCTTCTCCAAGGATTGGTCCCTCCTGGTCACACGCCCAAAGTATGTGAGACAGAGCTTCAAAATCCTAACCTCCAAGGGAGTTTCACCCTCTCCGAGACAGAACAATTTGTTTTCTTAGTGGTCCATGGTATGTTCAAGACTCTTCTCCAGCACCCCAATTCAAAAGCATCAATTCTTCTGTCATCCTTAGAGGGTCTTCCCCTCCTGCACTGTCTCTCCACCCTCCCAAGAATGACGTCCTTCTCCAAGGACTGGTCCCTTCTTGCAACATGTCCAAAGTATGTCAGACGAAACCTCAGAATCGTTGCCTCCAAGGAGCAGCTCTCTCATTGTCCAGCTCTCTGATGCACAGCAAGTAATTGCGAAGGCCATAGCCTGGATTAGGAGCACCTTAGTCTCTAGACTGACATCATTATTTTTCAGTACTCTGGGCAGGTCCCTGATAGCAGATTTTATTTTCCCAATGTAACTTGTCTTTTATTTTTTTTCTGTAATTATATTTT